ACAGGGGGATTAAAAACCTCTGTAAACTTACACACCTAATAAGTGGCTAATCCAGAATCTGAATCCATGAGGTCTGGCTTCATGTGAAAAAAGGCACTTGCTAGAGAAAGACAATTATTACTGGCACTAAGAGCAAAGAGAAATATCAATGAATACAATAAATATTATTTTTAGTTTGTAACAGAATCAGTTCTGTGATTTTACCTACCTGCTAGCTATACTATAATTCAAAATACATTCTTCCTTTTTTCCAGAGAGATTGAGTCAAACGTCTAAATTTGGGGCATCTCTGGCAAAGCAACATCACAGAAGACTAAGCTCTATATCCAAAAATTAAGGAAAGATAGTTCTGAACAGCTTTGAATTCATCTGTTAATTTCTAGTGATCCCTACTTTCTTTCCATAGGTAAGCAGTCAAGGATTTTTATCTCTTTCAAACTACTTTCTATTATTTTTTCTAATGACTTTGTAATTTCAAGTTTAAAATGATTTTTCCCATAACTGGACATGGATTGACAAACATAAGGATCTTCTAAGGATCTCCAAGAAAAGCATCATTCAGTATGTTCTAATATAAAACTGAGTTGTGAATAGGTGGATAAACCTGCTGATTCAAATGAACTGAATCTAAACTATTTAAATTATTTTTTACATAACACAGGATCTGACAATGAGAACAGAACTTTATTCTAACTTTCTAACTACATTACATTTGGCAAGTTATATTCTATTAACCAAAAGATTATTGGTTTTTTAAATTTTTTAAGTTCTTTTTTATTCTTTTTTAAAATATGTTTTTTCTTCTTTTTAAATCTTTTTTTGTTTTTTGGGGGGTGGTAATTAGGTTTATTTATTTATTTACTAATCGAGGTACTGGGGTTGAACTCAAGACCTTGTGCATGCTAAACAGTCACTTTACCACTGAGCTCTACCCTCCCCCTGATTATGGGTTTTTGAACAACTGTTACAATTTCTTTTTAGGCTTTTGCCAGGTAACACTGAAATATACAATAAAAACATACTAAATAGTATGAATCTAAAGTCAAAAAGAAAGCAGTAGATGTGTTATGCAATATGTATTATACAGCAATGAGTCAGTCTAGAGTCAATCCAGACTGACCAAGTGTTCATCTCTAGAGTTGCCTTGAGCATGGAACTGACCCTTGGTCAAAGCTATGAAATGTACTAACCAAGGATAAATAATGTTTTGCAAATATGGGTTCATGAAATGTTTCAAGGCAAGTCATGCTAGTCTGTCTGAATTGACTAGTAATAATAATTGGATTTATTAATTTGTACCTGGAGTTGATGGAGTCTGGCGTTTTCAATAGTTGAGCTGGTCATGTAGTAGGAATGTACCTACATGACCAGCTCACTATGAGAGGCCCCTACTACACACAGACTTGGGACTTCTTGGTATCACACCCACACCCATGGTGGTTTAAAATCTGGAGACCAGCAAGTCCTGTGAGGCCCAGTGGAGGGATGATGTAGAAGACTGTATCTGACTCCTCCATGACCCGCCCTTCAATGCTCATCTTCCTTCTGGTGCTGTTGTATCATTTCGGAGGATCAGTTGTTTGAGTTCTGTAAGTCCTTTACCTAACCAATTACTTAAAGTAATTAACATGATTACCATTGTAGTCACTGGGATTACTTAGTTTTAAGTACTATCAGTAAAACTGAAGAAATTAAAATGGTTTTCCCATGCTTTAACCCAGGCCTGGGTTTGCAATCCCCCAGGAACACAGCCTGGTTTGAGCTGAACCACTTCCTCACAGTGGTCTGATACGCTGTAATTCATATAAATAAATGATGTAGGGTTGAAAAACATATATGCCCTTGAAAGTTGCCATATTAAAATATTTGTCTTTGATTTCTCTGGCGTGTCAAAAATGGCACATTAATAAGATTTCGCTAGTACTATGAGTTCATATACTCAGGTAGAGCAATTCAAAGTTTAATAAAATAAAGCAGATTAAGAGGTCAGATAAGGGCGGGTGGAGGTATAGGTCAGTGGTAGAGTGCATGCTTGGCATTCACAAAGTCCTGGGTTCATTCCCCAGTAGCTCTACTAAAATGAATGAATAAGTAAATACCCCCTCCAAAACGACAAAAACAACAACAACAAGTGAGATAAAAAATGATTCTCTAAAAGTATGGTGAAGTCACAGAACTTCATAGTGTGATACATATTCAAATGCTGGCACCAATTTTATATATATATTTCCAGGAAATAAAAATCTTGATCTCCAATATTCAAAATGTAATCACCTTCCAAATCTCAGTTTCAATTTTCTCATCATTACTAGTTTCTTATCTTTCCCCTTCCTGGCTCTTCACACATTCCTTCCAGATTTGTGCTTAGTAGTCAATTTAAGTTAAACTAAATTTAGTGATTTTTCAGATATCCCTTTAAAAAATAAATTTTAGTAACCACTAAATGTGATAGCCAGGTCATCAATAAATAAGAAATATAGAACCATACATACTTTAAACCCTCAGTTTTAAAAAGTTCACTAAAAATACAGGTCTAGGTTTTGGATCCTGTTTTTGTATTAATATCTTACAAAATATATTCAACAGACGCTAATGTTATTTTTAATAAATTAAAACTGACAAAAGACTTTTTTCCTTACATTCAATTAATTAAGACCCTGGGTTATAAAATTTCAATCAATTAGGACCCAGGGTTAAATAAGTTAAGGGAGCAAAGGAAGCCAAAGGTCCCATTTCAAAATCAAGATTTTTCCAAAGTGAATGAGAAAATAAGATGTATACCTTTAAGAAATGAAAACAGAATGTTCTGTAACCTACAGGTCAAAAAAGTGGTATGAATGATGAATGTTATTAGGAAGAAGAGATCACTAGGGGATGGGGGATCAAGGAACACTTCTTGGAGGGCAAAGGAGCTGAAATATGTTCTTCAAGATAAGTAGGCTATAACCAGAAGAGAATATTTTAAACAGAAAAAAATGGAATAGAGAAAGGTACAACAACAATAATTCATAAGTCATGTGTGAAGGATGATGACTACACTAGTAAGACTGTACCAGAGCTTCATGAATCATAGAAAGAGGTAAGTGATAAGATCAGGTAATGAAAGATTTTTAATACCAGGATACAAACTTAGACTCTGCCCAGAATGGAGGGCCATTAAGGTATCTAAATAAGAGAGGGACACGCTGGGTATCAAATTATTATTCCTACCCATAGGTCTTATTTCTACTATGAGAATTAAATAGAATTGGTCAATTCCTTCTTCTATATTTTTGAAAACTCCTATTATGTTCCTCTATTAGGGGTAAGGATGAAAAGGACAAATTAAAGGGAAAGACTGAAATCATGAGACAGTTAAGAAGCCATTTGTAATTTTAACAAAGCTTGAAATGATAGCAGCACAAAATTATGAAGAGAAAGAAAGGGATGGCTGTGAGTTCATGTAACTACAAACCTTTTCCCCCAACTGAGAAATGTTTTTTTTTATTGAGTTATAGTTGTTTACAATGATGTGTCAAATTCCAGTGTAGAGCACAATTTTTCAATTATACATGAACATACATACATTCATTGTCACATTCTGTTTCACTGTGAGCCACCACAAGATCCTGTATATATTTCCCTGTGCTACACAGTACAATCTTGTTTATCTATTCTACATTTTGAAATCCCAGTCTGTCCCTTCCCACCCCCATCTCCCTGGCAACCACAAGTTTGTATTCTATGTCTATGAGTCTGTGAGAAATGTTCTCATAAGATGAATGTATATTTTACTTATCTCACTTCAAAATTCACTTTAAAGTCTAAGGAGCAGCTTCAAAATCAAGTTCTACACTGATACAGGAAAGTGTCTTCTCAAGAACAGATAGCAATCTGTAGAGACAATCACATTTTCTGAGGGGCCTAGCCGTGCAGCTCTGAGAGGGCATCTGACAGTTCTTCCTGTGCTCTTTCCAATTATTTTACAGAATTTTCTTTGGATTATGGGTATTCTTGAAGCATTAACACAGCACCCATAGAAGTCATTTAGGTTGCATTCCTTAAACATTCCCTTCAGCATTAAGGGGTGTTTTCCAATTGAAAAAGTCTGACTTATAAATCTTAAACTCATGCTTGTGCAACAAAAAATATGCGGCAATAAAATCCTAATGTTACTCTCTTTATAGCAATATTAACTCATCAATATTTTCAGAATATTTGGCAGTTTCATTTTGATGATGATAACACTAAAACACTTCCATAATTACACATAATAAATAATATTCCCTTATGTGTTCCTTCATAAAATTTATGGAAAAGTGTAAGACATAAGCAATACTGTATTAAAAATAAGTACCTTATGACCAAATAAAGTGGATTTCAGACCTTGATGTATTTGGCTCAGGACTACTTTCTTGTTTTTCCGAGCTAAAAATTTCAGAACCCCAGGACTGAACACAAATTTTAAGTACAAAATAATGTACCATCTATCTTATTAAGTTGGAAAAGTTATAGTTTACCAAAGATTAGTTCTGCCTGATTCTTTAAGACAATGAAGAGATTTTTTTTTAAAAATGCACTTCTTAACCTCAAATCATTCAGCCTGCTTGTCTAGATAACATGTATCACTGAATATATGTATAGTCATTTCAATTTTGATTTACTGTACAACTGGTTTTATTAAAAGGATTTGGATCTTAAATTCATATTTATTAAAGATATAACTAGAAATTCTATCTTCCTAGAAATTCTTGCTATATTAGCAAAAAGGCACACTAACATAGCTCAATAACTAATCACACTAATTAACACTAACTTTTTACCTTCACGTTTTTCCAAAATACTATAATTTTTAGTTTTAAATTACATTAACATGAATTACAATAAAGAAGGAAAAATGTACAACTAAAGATAAGTTTTTAATATCTACATAAAATTCTGCCTGTAATTACATATATTTGTAGATGCAATTATAGAAAACTAAAATTCAACAAAATATCAAGTAACCAAATTTTACATACCGGACATTGCCTTTGGTGTTTCTGAGAACTGTTGCAGCAAAATTCTGTGTAACACCCACCAAGCTGATTCCATCCACTTCCACAATCTGGTCATTGACTTGTATTCTTTGGAAAAAGGGAAAAAATTACCCACATTAGTTTTTCTGATAACACATTACCATTCCCAATAAATGAGTTGACAAAATACTTGATTTTTGAGATACTCTTATTGCTCCAAAATTTGTCTCCAAGCTCCAGATCTTAGTCAAATGTTTAATGTTTTTAAAAAACTGCTTTGAAAAACAGAAATAAGCAATACTAAATGGAGAGACTCAGTTTACCAAACATCCATATTTGTATTATAAAGAATTGATAACTGCTAATGTATGACATAATGAAATCATTTTTAGTTCTCAACAAACTACATAAAACATAGCAGATCTAGCTGAAATATCTTTTTGGGCCTCACATCTAGTCCTTTATCCCATCTCTCCTCCCCAAGGAAAAATATCATCAGGAATTGCAGGGACTCCTTCCTATTCAAGCTGTATACTTGAAATACATAAGGCTCGTAAGTGTGTGTATAACGCACATGTATATAATGCATATACACACACATATAGGATTTATGTTCAGGAGGTATATATAGTATTAGTATTGTTTCCTGTATAATGCCTTTAAATTTATATACATGTTTTATATATGCCATCTTTTATTCCTCAAAATGAAGTATTTCAATCATGGAGAAATGCAGACGGAATTAGATAATAAATGCTCATGTAACCAACACCCAATTTTATGAAATCTCAGCACTGCAATATTAGAGCCTGACTTTTTCCTAAAGAAATATATTACAGAAAAGCTGAAGCCCCTTTATTATTTGCTTTCATTCTATTCCCTTCACTGCTTCCACAGAAGTAACCATCTTACTGATTTTGATGCTTAGCCTTTCTACTGAAATCCTGAAATAGAAAGAATACATATACATGAATATGCATATGTGTACATTTGCAGTTTTCAAACATTATAAAATGTACCTCTTTTTCTACAATTTCGTTTGCTTCACTCAACATTATATATGAGATTTATCCGTGGTTATAAATACAATTCTAGCTAGTTCATTTTAACAAGCACATAGTATTATCTTTTATGAATATTCCAAAATATATGTATCCATTATTTTGCAAATGGACAACTGTACTGTTTTGAATTTTAGCTATTATGAATACTGATTAATAATGAATTTCATACATCTCCCTATGCGCATGTGTGAGTTTCTCCAGGATATATACCTAGAAGTAGAATTTCTGAGTCAGAGAACATGGGCACTTTCAACTTTAACTGACACATTTCAGTTCAAAATGCTCATACCAACACATATTCTCAACAGCACTGCAGAGAGGTTCTGACCCTCTCCACACCCTCACCAGTACTTGGTATATTCAGATCCTTTAAATACTGCTGATTTTACAAGTGTAAAAAGTTTTAACATTGTGATTTTAATTGCATTTCCTTGTGGTTGAACATTTATTCATACATTGATGAGTCATCCGTCCACTTCTGAAAACTGTTAGATCCTATCTTTTACTTATCTTTGTTGATGTTGGCTTGAGGGTTTTTCACTTAGAGATTTATATAAGTTGTCTTTAGATATCCTGTATACTAAAGCTTTCTTAATTAAATATGTTGCAAATAGCTTTTGCCCAATCTGTAGCTTCTGTTTTCACAATTTTGGGGATAACAGTGGTTTTAAAGAGAGCAGTTTTTGAAAAATATAATCAAATTTGTAATTTTGGCTTTATATAAGGTAGCTTTTGTGTTGTTTGAGGAATCCTTTTTGCCTCAAGTTATAAAAACATTCTATATTTTTTTCCCAAGAGTTTAACATTTTGCTTTTCTGCATTTTTAGGTAGCTATCCGCCTGGAAATTATTTTTTTATTCTATCTGTTAGCAATCTTTTTGGTATTTTTCAAGGCTATAAACAATGGCTTGGAGAGTCCACTTTTTCTCCCCTAAGTTATAGCGCTGCCTCTGTCAGGTTTCACATGTGACATTTTATAGGGTAATTCCTTCACCTAGTTCATTGTCTTCAAAATTTTCTGAGCTACTCTTGAGCTTTCTCTCTTCACAGCTAGTTTGGGTTTATGTCCTAGTTCTCTAAAAACACTTAATGGGGTTTTAATAAAATTATACTGATTTGGGGAGGGGGGCATTTTTTTTCTTTTTTTTCTTTTTTTGAAATTATACTGATTTTTAACATTAGTTCAGGGAAAATTGACATCTTTATCATCTTGATTCTTTCCATCAATAAAAATTAAATGCTACTATAATTATCCTGGGCAAATGTATGTATCATATGTTATTGCTATATGTTAAGAAATCACTTAAAGCTTGGAAATACAAATAAAAAGAGAGCTAACTGTCCTTTCAATGTCACATAGGTGCATTGTTAAAACAGGCTCAAACCAAGATAATTTGGGGGAATGTATTTTAATGAATCCACTGTTTTTAAAATTGATTAAAAGTCCTGGACATACTCAAGCTGAATGTTAATTTGTAGATTTTTGTCCTAAATATAATCAGATACATTTCTTCTGTTAAAAAACATAGTCTCATAGGTCATGGTTTATTTCCCTATAAAATACTAACTGGTTTTGTATCTCATTTAACAGTGTTATTCAAATTCCAGTGTAGAGCACAATTTTTCAGTTATATATGAACATATACATATTGATTGTCACATTTTTTTCTCTGTGAGCTACCATAAGATCTTCTGTATATATATCTTGTTTATCTGTTCTACAATTTTGAAATCCCATCTATCCCTTCCCACCCTCCGCCCCCTTGGCAACCACAAGTTTGATTTCTATGTCTATGAGTCTGTTTCTGTTTTGTATTTATGCTTTTTTGTTTGTTTTTGTTTTTTTAGATTCCACATATGAGCGATCTCATATGGTATTTTTCTTTCTCTTTCTGGCTTACTTCACTTAGAATGACATTCTCCAGGAGCATCCATGTTGCTACAAATGGCATTATGTCCTCAGTTTTTATGGCTGAGTAGTATTCCATTGTACAAATATACCACTTCTTCTTTATCCAGTCATCTGTTGATGGATATTTAGGCTGTTTCCATGTCTTGGCTATCGTAAATAGTGCTGCTATGAACATTGGGGTGCAGGTGTCATCCTGAAGTAGGGTTCCTTCTGGATAGAAGCCCAGGAGTGGGATTCCTGGGTCATATGGTAAGTCTATTCCTAGTCTTTTGAGGAATCTCCATACTGTTTTCCACAGTGGCTGCACCAAACTGCATTCCTACCAGCAGTGTAGGAGGGTTCCCCTTTCTCCACAGCCTCTCCAGCATTTGTCATTTGTGGATTTTTGAATGATGGCCATTCTGACTGGTGTGAGGTGATACCTCACTGTAGTTTTGATTTGCATTTCTCTGATAATTAGTGATATTGAGCATTTTTTTCATGTGCCTATTGATCATTTGTATGTCTTCCTTGGAGAATTGCTTGTTTAGGTCTTTTGCACATTTTTGGATTGGGTTGTTTGGTTGTTTCTTATTAAGTCGTACAAGCTATTTATATATTCTGGAGATCAAGCCTTTGTCAGTTTCATTTGCAAAAATTTTCTCCCATTCCGTAGGTTGTCTTTTTGTTTTACTTCTGGTTTCCTTTGCTGTGCAGAAGCTTATAAGTTTCACTAGGTCCCATTTGTTTATTCTTGCTTTTATTTCTATTGCTTGAGTAGACTGTTCTAGGAGAACATTTTTGAGATGTATGTCAGATAATGTTTTGCCTATATTTTCTTCTAGGAGGTTTATTGTATCTTGTCTTATGTTTAAGTCTTTGATCCATTTTGAGTTTATTTTTGTGTATGGTGTAAGGGAGTGTTCTAGCTTTATTGCTTTACATGCTGCTGTCCCGTTTTCCCAACACCATTTGCCGAAGAGACTGTCTTTATTCCATTGTATATTCTTGCCTCCTTTGTCAAAGATTAGTTGACCTGATATTACTTTGTTAACTTGCATTTAGTTATCTCCAAAATCTTGGTTATAAAGCATAGTTTTTAATAGATACAATTCTGCTTATGTTAAAATATTATAAAGTTACCATAACTTTGCATCATGTTAATGTCTTCGTCCTTGTACTTTAAGAAATGCAAAAATACTATGTGTGGCTGTAGAAAATGATATTTCCTAGTCTGCTCAATTGCTTACGTATGACAGACAATTATTATTATGAAGTTCTTATCTACCAGTGAGGGTTTTTATTAGAAGTTAGTTCAGTAGACTACAAGTTAAATTTAAAATGGATAATTAAGACTATCCTAACAACAACAGGGATAGAAAAAAATAAAACTATGTAGGTAAAGGAATTTTTGTTTTTCAAGAGAAAGAATAGCAGTTTAGTCTGAAGGAATCAGCTTGTTTCAGAATATGAAAGAACATAATGAAGATCAATATTCAAGTGTGCATAGCAAGTTGAGGAAGGTTTAAAGAAGTGATTTTTGTTTGCCATGATTTAGCATTTAGGCCCAAACTGAAACACTCAGTTTTGAAGGACTTATTCATAACATAATTTAGAAGAAAAAAGTGTAGTTCTTCTACTACTAGAGTTACATTGAATGAGTCAATTCCTTTTTCCATGATAGTCCTTTAGACATTTGAAAACTGCTATTATGCTGCTATTAGGCGTAAAGGATGAGAAGGGTGTTGAAGAAGGGAGAGACTGAAATCATGAGACAGTTAAGAAGCTATTTGCAATTTGTACAATGTTGAAATGATAACAATACAAAATCATGAATGAGAGCTCCTTTTACTTTACGTTTTCATTAGCATTTAGTGTTGACAGCATTTGGGATTTTGGCCATTTTAATAGGTGTGTAGTGGTATCTCTTCAATGTTTAAATTTGCAAAAACTCATAGACTGGAAGAAAAATTTTACATATCATGTATCTTATATGGGGTTGGTATCTAGAATATTCTAAAAAATAGTTACAAACCAATAATAAAAGAAAAACAATCCAATTTAAAAATAAGTCAGACAGAGAAAGACAAATACCTTATGATCTCACCTATACATGGAATCTAGAATATAAAACAAAACAAAACAAAAAACAA